TAGTCCTGTATAACTTAAAACAAACATTCAATAACATAAATAGATGTTACAATTAATAATTGTGCAATATGGATCATTAGCATTTTTTAATTTTATTTATTTATTCACTTTAGCACAGCAGATATAATTAAAGCAAAGCTAAAAAATAGTAATATGTGGGTAAATCTGGACTTAAATCTGCTTTTAAAAATATGACATGTTTGAACACGGCCAGAATGTGCGCATTGAGAAACACGTTCAAATTTGTCGTCTTAATGCGTACTCCCCTCACTTGAGGTCTTCGTACTGAGTACGCTGATCCATAAGTGTGGGTGGTTGCACTCCCCCTTGATTTAGAGGGTTGGTATGTTGAGTGCTTGCTCCCTAGAGCTCTGTTCGGCACTTAGGTAACTGCCTCTGGCGTTGAGTGTAACTAGGTCTCCTCTCGCTTTAGAGAGTCGTTATTCTAAGACCTCCACTCTTAAGAGCCCCTCAACTATGGTTGAGTGTTGTTAGGCTTCCTCTCGTTTAAGAGAGTCGTTCTGCTGAAGCCACTTTGCATAGCTCCGTTTAGGCAGTATTAATGTGCAGGCTCTTGAGCCTCACTAACTGACCCTGGCGTTGAGAGTAGCCAGGTCTCCTCTCATTCTAGAGAGTCGGTATGCTGAGACCTCCACTCTTAGAGTTCCGACTTTGGTAGGTGAGCGCTGGCGAGTTTGAGCCTGCCTGTAGAGGTTGTGGCCTGGGTCCTAGCAGAAGCGATCTGGCGGGGGCAGGGATGGTGTTCCTTGAGTCCTTGACTTAAGGAATCCAGTTTTGGGCACTCATCCTTCAGCATTGCGGCGTGGGTAGACTGTTCCCCTAGTGCCCTCTAGAGGACGCAGCGTTGTGTTCCCTTTCGAAAGGGAACGTCTCAGGTTACGCATGTAACCATGGTTTTTTTTTTTTAAGGGTATTTTTTTTGGTTGTGGTTTTAATAAAAAAATTTTTTTTTTTTTTTTTTTTTTTTTGGTGTTTGGCTTAGTGTTATGTTAGAATCATTATTATACTCATACCTTTTGTTCTTAATATTTTGAATTGTTTTTAGCTTTATTTTTTGGTTTTCATTTCAGTGTTTAGTTTTTAAATGTTGTATGCATTGTCATTTTTATTTAATTTTTTTTATTTTCTTAAGTGTGTGTGTGTGTGTGTATAATAATAATAATAATAATAATAATAAAAATATATATATATATTAGTATTTATAGAATTTTAATTACTTTACTTTTTCTTTAAGTCGCTTTGGATAAAAGCATCTGCTGAATGACGAAAAGAGAGAATTGTGACAGTGGATTCAATAAGTATTCAGACCCTTTCATTTTTATATTTTGCTAAGTCTTGCTAAAATGTTTCAAATACTTAAGAAGTAGTGGAGAGTGGGGCACAAAGTAACACTTTTTGACTTTCTCAAATTGTGTAAATCCACTTTTTTTTTTATCCACAGTAATTTCACACGTCTAGTACAAATGTCGCTTTGTTTCATAATTGCGGTTTATACGTTTTTCTTTATTTACCCTCAAAAATTGGAATATAACTTTTTACTGTAGCATTTTGAAGTTATGGACCCATAAATTAGGCTGATATGACAATACAATAACAGGAAAAATAGCATTATTGCCCCAAATGGTGGCGCTATATCTCAGCTTCCTTTGAAGGTGCGTTAAAATTTCTACTTTGGTCTTATTCCCAATGCACTTGACTGTCACCACGCAAATTTACAGACATTTTTACTGTAGCATTTTGAAGTTATGGACCCATAAGTTTGGCAGATATGACTATACAATAGGAGAAAATGCATTATTGGCCCAATTGGAGGCGCCATATCTCAGCTGCCTTTGAGGATGCGTTAAACCTTACACTGGAGCCTTATTCCCTGCGCCCTTGACTGTTACCATGCAAATTTCATTTAATTTTCACTGTAGCAGTGTTATGTTCGCCTTTGAGGATGCGTTAAACCTTACACTGGAGCCTTATTCCCTGAGCCCTTGACTGTTACCATGCAAATTTCATTTAATTTTCACTGTAGCAGTGTTATGTTATGGACCCATAAACTTGGCTGATATGACAATACAGTAACTGGAGAACATTGCATTATTGGCCCAGTTGGAGGCGCTATATATCAGCTGTCTTTGAGGGTGCTTTAAAAGTCCCACTGGGGCCTTATTCCCAGGGCCCTTGACTGTAAACACGCACATTTTCAGACATTTTTACTGTAGCATTTTTATGTTATGGACCCATAAATTAGGCTGATATGACAATACAACAAGAGAAATTGCATTATTGACCACATTGGTGGCACTATATCTTAACTTCCTTTGAGGGTGCATTAAAAGTTCCACTGGGGCCTTATTTCCAGGGCCCTTTACTGTGACCATGCAAACGTCAAGACATTTTCACTGTATCATTTTTAAATTATAGACCCATCAACTTGGCTGATATGACAATACAGTAACTGTTGAACATTGCATTATTGCCCCAAATGATGGCACTATATCTCAGCTTCTTTTAATGGTGCGTTAAAATTTCTACTGTGGTCTTATTCTCAAGGCACTTGACTGTTACCATGCAAATTTGCAGACATTTTTACTGTAGCATTTTGAAGATATGGACCCATACGTTTGGCAGAAATGACAATACAGTAACTGGAGAGCAAGTGGGACGATGCAATTCCTCCTGTTATTGTCATATCTGCCAAATACCTGGATCCATAACTTAAAAATGCTAGTGTAAAAATGTGCGTGGTTACAGTCAAGTGCCTTGGGAATAAGACCTCAGTGGAACTTTTAACGCACCCTCAAAGGAAGTTAAGATATAGCGCCACCAATTGGGCAAATAATGCAATTTCTCCTGTTACTGTATTGTCATATATTCAAAATGCTACAGTAAAAATACTGAAACTGTGCGTGGTTAAAGTCAAGTGCCTTGGGAATAAGACCACAGTAGAACTTTTAACGCACCCTCAAAGGAAGTTATCTGCCAAATACCTGGATCCATAGCTTCAAAATGCTACAGTAAAAAGTTCTGAAAATGTGCCTGGTAACAGGCAAGTGCACTTGGAATATGACCTCAGTGGAACTTTTAACGCACCCTCAAAGGAAACTGAGATATAGCGCTCCCAATTGAGCCAATAATGCAATTTCAATGCAATAGGTCCATAACTTAAAAATGCTTAATGTCATGAATGCAATAGCTCAAGTCTGTATTGTCATATATGTAAAATGTATAGGTCCATAATTTCAAAATTGTACCGTAAAGATGTCTGAATCTTTTCAGACATTAAAGCCTCTAATGAAACTTTTACCGCACCCTCAAGGACAGCTGAGATTTTGTGACTCCAATTGGGCAATCAGTGCAATGGCCTATTCAACTGTATAATTACATATGTCATATATATAGGTCCATCTTCTAAATGGTACAGTAAACATGTCTGATATATATATATTATTTATTTTTCATTTTTTTTATTTTTTATAATGGATAAGCACTCTTAAGAAACTCTCAACACGCCCTCGGAGACAACATGGTACAGTAACCAACAATGCAATGGCTCATTCAGTTAAGTCATATTAATTTGTATAACGCATTTCACAACACATTGTTTCATATATATATATATATATATATATATTATAATTATTATTATTTTGGTGACTGAGTTTAAGCAAACATTTTATTGATTTATTTTTACTTTGTGTTGAATGCAAGCTTCTCTTACATGCTCCTCCACTTTGAAACACCTTGGCCTAGTTACGTTTTCCCCAACCCTTTGGCCTCAAGCTGTAAGTGTGAACATACTATTCTACAGCATACTGAGCATCCGCACATCGTGTGCAATGATTCATAGCACACCACCATACAAGGCGGATGGAGTCAGCAGAATGGGATTACTCTGCCCACACCAGTATACTGTTAGTTGTGCAACAGTGATGGGCTTTAAAATTAGGTTCCTAAAAACAGCCTTTTTTAAATTAATTATGGTGTTGGATGGAGTGATTGAAACACTGTGACATTGTAGTTTCTTTTGGATTCTTGTGGCTTCATACAAAATTGCCCCCCCCCCCCCTGTGAAGTGAGACATGGAGGCTGCTGTCTTGATCTTATAATGACTCCCAATCAGATTAAACTTCCACGCTTATTCGTAATCTGTCGCATACACCTGCCGCCACAGTTGTAGTTTGTTCTACTTCCTTAACCAGTCAGAGTCTTGAAATGGATATGCATTGTTTTGGACTTGCCGAAGACATGATTTTTTTTTTGCTCGGTGCTACAGGTGTGCACTACCATTCATATGTTTGTTCGTTTGTTTTTACTGCATTTGTTTGATTGAAATTGCAATTATAAATGTAAGTTATTTCTGTGAAAACATTTTAATGAGAAAACATTTTAATATGACGATTTGGTGCTCAAGAAACATTTATCAATGTTGAAAATAGTTGTGCTGCTTAATGATTTTGTGTAAACCATTATACATTATTTTAAAAAGATTATTTGATGAATAGACAGTTTAAAAGTATGGCATTTATTTGAAATATAAATATTGTTACCATAACATTCTTAACTCACTTTTACTATCAATTTAATGCATCCCTGCTGAATTATATGAATATGCTGTATATTAAATACTGACCCCTAACTTTTGAATGGTAGTGTATATGAGTTTGATTTTAGTTCCCTAAAAGATGTGTTCTGCCTAAGCACATGTTAAAAGCATAGTGGAAACACCATCCTCTGTGATCATGCGGAAGTGTTTTTTATTACTTTCAGAGAAACTTTGCAGTCTTTTGTGAGCTTTTTTTGTTTTTTTTTTAATAAAGGGAATATCATTGCTTGCATTTAGTTATATGCTCATCTTTCCACATTAAACAAGTATTAGTTATTATTAGTCAGTCAGATGTCAAGCTCTTTGTCCGTGTTTTGCTGTATGTGGGACTCACAGTTGGGCTTTTGCTGTTTTTAGTAATGTTGGAAATCTGACCTCTTACAGGTTTTCTGCCTTCATGAGCTCCAGATGAGAAGAGGCTGAGCAGAGGTTCTGTGAACTGCCCTGAAATTAATTTTGCAGGTGAGTTATTACATATAACATGTATTATATTCTGTGTCCTCCTTTCTGTGCTGGATTAACGTGCATGAAAATACTAATTTCCTCAAATGATTATGGGTGGTATTATGATATCCAGAGATGCTGAATTAAATGTTGTTGCCATTGGTAAAGTACAACAGAGTTTTCTTGTTTCTACTCAAAACCTATTGTATGTGTTTCTATATAAACACACATTATAGGATTGTGTAGCTGTAATCAGCATTCGACAGTAACAGATCCAGGTTTTGTTTGTAGAATATCTGTTTGCGTGTCTCTGATCATCTGGACGGACTGTTGTGTGTAAAGATGGTCTGTTTGTGGTTAAAGTCCTTTTCTCTTAAATTTCATCTCATTCGTAGTTCAAGGCCCTCAGTGATACAAGATTTCAAAGACTACTTGAATGGATGATTCTGATGCACTTAGCTGACACTGTGTTACGTATGGGCTTACATTTCTGCCGTAATTCTGTGCGGGAAAGATCATATTTTGAGCGCACACAAGTGCATTTTGCACGCGCGCGATCTGAGTTTGTGGAGAAAATGTTCGTTTCGCAAAGAAAAAAAGTCTTTCGAGCGCACGGAAATCAATTTTGCATTTAAAATAAGTTTTTGGATGTGTGCAGACCTTCTCTTTTGCGCGTGCAACGTTCCACTAGCTTGCTCACCTGATGTCCCCCTCAGTGCTCGCTAAAGGCCAACTGCTTGCTTGCTCAACACAACCCAGCATTACAATGTGCCATAATTCCAGCCAATCAGAGACCGAGGCTGCTAAATTCTGATTGGCTGCCTTGACAACCAATCACAACATTTCTTGCATTACCTCGACAGCAGAAGAGGAAATATACAGTGCATGCATAATTATTATGCAAGTTGATATTCTGATCATATTTTTTCTAAGCACATTTTACCAATTCCAAACGACATCAATCTTAACTACTATTAATCTTGTATTTAAAAATTTATAATTGAGATATAATTATTCATGAAGGCTGAAGTGAAAAATGTCTTGTATTCAGGTGTGCATAATTAAGCAGATTTTCTTTTACAGATAAAATGAGCCAAAAAAGAGATTTAACTCAGACTGAAAGTAAAAATTATTAAATGCCCATGATAAATATTCAAAACTAATACAATACTAGAAATTGCAACGTGAATGCATAACCATTGGACAGCAAAATGCTCAGTGGGTCAGCAGGGTCAGTCAAAAACATGTGGAGAAGAAAAGATGCATGTTAACTGCAAAAGAATTAGGAATTAAGGTGAAGAATTAGGTGTGAAATCACCAGGAACCATTTAGTCTCTAGCGCCACAGTTTTCCAGAACTGCAATCTACCTGGAGTCTCCAGAAGTACAAGGTGTCAGGTTCTCAGAGACTTGGGTTAAGTATAGAATCCTAAAAAATGACCCCTACTTAATAAGAATCGCATACTGAAGTGTAGTAAAATGCTTGAAAACTGAGATGTGTGTATATATATGCTTTATAGACAGATAAGTTGAGAAGGACCAGCACCACATCCTCTTGTACCACTGAAGAATTTATCTTCCAGAATCTGGCAGTAAGTTTTGGGAGTTCATTTTTAGTTCCTCTCGAGAGTTTCTGTAGAAGATAACCTGCTTAATAATTATGCACACCTGAATGTAAGGCATTTTTCACTTCCAGCCTTCATGAACAATAATATATAGATTATAAGTGATTTAAATACAAGATTAATAGTAGTTATAATTATTGGTAAAATGTGCTTGGAAAAAAATATAATCAGAATATCAACTTGCATAATAATTATGCATGCACTGTATATTTCCTCTTCTGCTGTCGAGGTAATGCAAGAAATGTTGTGATTGGTTGTCAAGGCAGCCGATCAGAATTTAGCAGCCTCTGTCTCTGATTGGCTGGAATTATGGCACATTGTAACGCTGGGTTGTTGAGAGCGAGCTGTTGGCATTTTGCGAGCACAGAGGGGGGGGCATCAGGTGAGCAAGCTAGTGGAACGTTGCACGCGCAAAAGAGAAGGTCCGCACACATCCAAAAACGTATTTTAAATGCAAAATTGATTTCCATGCGCTCAAGACTTTTTTTCTTTGCGAAACGAACATTTTCTCCACAAACTCCGATCGCTCGCGTGCAAAATGCACTTTGTGCGCTCAAAATATGATCTTTCGCACACAGAATTATGGCAGAAATGTAAGCCCATAGTTACGGGGCTGACGAGACGTGAGACATGCGAATCCATGTGCAAGCTTTATTAAAGCAGAGGAGGTCAGAAACATAGGCAGGGTCGAACAGTGGCAAACAGGTATATGGCGGGCAAGACACAAGAATAATCCTAGGGCTAGCGAAGGTCAACGAACGGCGAACATAATCAAAAGGGCAAGACTAAAGGGATAAAACAGGCAAAGATCAGAAACCGAGAGAAACAGACAAGGCTAGGAAGCTAATGAGGGCTCTGTAGAGTAGCTATCAAAACGATACACGCTAAACAATACTCTGCCCTTAGAAGGAGTGAGATGGAGTGTTAAATAGTGAGTGAGTGATATGAAACAGCTGTGTGCAATCAGTGCTGTGTGCCATCAGTGCAATGAATTATGGGATATGTAGTCCGGGGTGATATGCAACAGCGTGTAGTGCGAGAATCAATGCAAATGGAAAGGGTGACCTCTGATGGCTAGCAGACGGAAGTTCATGGACCGGATACGTAACACACTGCATGGATAAAAATGTCTCTGGCTTGTTTTAATCATAACCGTTTGACTTTCTCATTCTGTTTTGAATGAAAATGGAAAAGTAGCACAGAATGATGGAGTGAATAAAGATTCTGATGTGGGCCTGCTTCTTCCTGTCCCCAGGTGCATGGTTCTCATTGCTATTGAAGACCAATTTTGTCTTAGCCGTGAAATATAGCCCTGCAATATAGGAATAATGGCCGTTGCCAATGCCAAGTCTGGCACAGGTAAGCACTTTAGAGCCTCTTACAGGTTTATAGGATGCTTTATAGATCATTAGTGTGCGTGATTTTTGTGATATCCAAATATATCACAAACACACAGATGGGACAGTTGGCATGGCTTCAGTGTTTTTTTTTTTTTTTTTGTAGACGAGTGACCAGTTGATGAATGATGATATTTAACAGAGCTTTATATGGCAGCAACCTGGTAATTCTTTCTGCAACATTTGCTGGATAGGTGAATAATACTTGTTGAGGAAAGGTGTGCTAGTATTTCTATCATGATGACTCTCTGAAGAATTTAGCATGGTAATAGATATGATTAATTAATGTATTTGATCTAGGCGGAGTAGATCTGATTCGCTGCTGGATTGCTGCTGCTGTTGGTTATTGCTGTTTTTCTAGATTATTGCTGCTGCAAAGCAAGTACAGGAATAAGACATACTGCTGCTGCACAAGTAGCATATATATATATATATATATATATATATATATATAATAGCCCGTAGCATATCTAGGCTATACAGGTGGAGCTGGGGAGGGTGGAGGGTTTCAGAGTAACTCTGAAAGCGTGCTGCGAAATGCTTTAGTGGATGCCAAACAGCCATTTAAGTGTAAAGCAGTAAGCTTATTGGCTCTGTATGGAACATGTACCAAGCAGCTTAACGCTGTGAATATCATTAGTTTGCACTACCACCCATCAGCCTGCAACACAGTAACTGCAGTGGACTTTTAATCGATTTTGATCAAGTTCACATCTATTGACTGCAGGTGATAGCTTTGGCAAACTGCTGCTCCTGAGTATGGGTCAGAAACCGCTAAGACCTCTTCAGTCCTTCTAGCCATATCATCATAACTCTCCCAGTGTCTAATGTATCTTGCCTCTGTAGAGAGGTTACAGAAAAGCACTGATGAAATGGCTCATCTCACAGGCTTAATGACCTGCATGTATGACCCTCAGCTCCGTGTTTGCTTTTCAGCTGCTTCCACTGACACCATTTTCTCTGCTGTGTTGTGTGGTTTGTTGCCTTATTGAGGGAGATGTCTCTGTGTGGGTTTGTTCACCATGGAAATGGTTACTGTCTGCACTATGTAAATTACTCCACTTCTTGATGAATATGCCCTTTTTTGAGGCTCTCAAGTTGTTTATAATTGTCTGAGTGCTTTCTGATGCAGTAATATACACATGGATTTTTGTCGTTCTCTGTTACTGGAAAGCAGTAGGTTGTGTAGTGTTGACTTGACTGTAAACAGGATCCAAAATCAACTTCCTGCCAAGCTGTGGAAACTATTTTTGAAATTTATTATCAGGAGTCTAAGCATTCATAGACTTGCTGACCTATGACATGCAATTCATGTAAATTTAAGTCCACATCCAACAAAGCTTCTGGTCACCCTATAATTTTTGGACTTCTCTTTGAGTCTAACAGTAAGAGGGAGTGATTTTTCTTTTGGAAGTCATTTGTCTTTTTTGACAAGTTTGTTGCTGTACCGGTTTCATCAAAGAAGATTCAAGATGGACTTTGCTGTAAATACCACATCATTGGACACATTACTGATCATCCATGTGGGGCATTGGCAGTGTTGCCAGATTGGATGGACGATTTCCAGCCCAAAAGCTCACCAAAACCCACCCACACCAATTAAAAAACTGCCCAAAACTTTAACTGTCCAAATAATGTAAGTGAATGTGCATCAAGGTTGATTAGGACCATTTTAACTCCTTAAAACAAAATAATACAAAAATAGATAAATTTCCCAGGAAAACAGATCAAATCAGAGTAAATACATTAAAGTGAATTACCAAATATGATTAAAATATGCAAGCAGTCAAAATGGCAAGAAATTAACCAATACCCTCGAAAAAAAATGCATGCATAATTTAATGTCAACCGTCAGAGTAAGCCAATATACTGCAAAAATTGCCCAATATTAGTGATCGAAAAAAGAAACTTAATTAGCAGGTATTTTACACATTCATGCACACCATTACAGTCAAAACTGTGTAATTCATTGATGCATACTGTATGATAATCCAACCATAAAAAATTAACAACCGTAGTACCTTACCTTCGTGTCACACTTTACCTTCAGACAGAACTAGAGGACATCTTTTGTACAAATTGTAAAACATAATACAGAACTTTGCAAAAGTCAAAACTAATCAAACAGCAACTTTCAAGGATATACCAGTTTGGACCTTTTAAAAGATGTCCTGATGCAGGACAGGATTGTATAGTCAGACATTCAGTTTCGATTTTTGATTAATTCATTCTGATTTCAGAGTTACAATGATATTAGAGCCTTCGTGTCCTCTCCTTCCACAGGTGTAATTCATGTTTTGAGTGTAGTCACCTGCCCCATCTGGCAACCCTGGCCATTGGTGCATGGATCCCGATTATTGCCGCTTACGGCTATATTTGTTATATTTTGACTCCATTTCAGTATGCGTTGTGACTGTAGCTACACATTTAAACAATTTAATATCGTAGATTCTAATGACTTAATATTTATGTCAAAGAGAATAAATACTCACATTTGAAGCTTGGTTATGTTAATTTTGGGTCATACTTTGTAAATATGATCAGATAAACCTGATTGTTTAGCTTGTTTACTTTGTTTAAACTGGCTTTTTTTCTGTACAGTTTGCCTTTATATGTAAATCTTTTATTTTATGCAGTATTATTATATTGTAAAACTGTATGTTTGTATAATACACATACAGTTTTATATGCGTGCGCGTGTGTGTGTGTGTGTGTGTGTGTGTATTTTGTAATTTTTACAATTGGCAAGTAGAGTACTAATATTGAGCCATGATTGTAAAAATGCTCAGCTACATCTAGTTGGTCTAACTTGATTTAAGTTATTATATATATTAGTATGATCTGGTTAAACTCTAATCTTCCATTTAATGTATTTTGATACTATAAATCCTTAAGTACTATAGACTGTATATTTTAATCGTATAAAATGGGTATCTGCAGTTTGGCGTTGCTTTATTCTATGCTTTACAATCTTGGTTTTTATATCTATTTTAATAATGTGTGTAAATTGTGTGACCCTCAGCCATGCAGCAGGTGCTGGATAACCTCAAGGAGCTGCCGCCTTCAACAGGAGCCAAAGACATCGACCTCATCTTCCTCCGTGGCATTATGGAGAGTCCCATAGTTCGTTCCCTTGCTAAGGTATAAACTAATACTTAATTTTAACTCCTTCAGTTTGATAGCTATTAGGACACATCAAATAATTGATTAACATTATACTTGTTACGTTTTAAATCAGGCCCTGTTCTTGACAGCTATAGAAGGGTGGGCTGGCAGATATCCTGGGGAATATTGCAGTGGGATACATTCTAGATATTTATACTGTAGATATTGCTATATTAACTATATTATATACACTGAAAAAAGAGCAATATCTTGTACTTTCACAACAAAATTAACTTTTTCTCTGTATTGAATATTAAAAAAGAAAAAAGCCCTTTTTGTTCTCTTTCTCTGGAATGTCTGGATCATTGTTTCTACACTGGTGATTCCTTTCAACTAACTTTTTTTTTTAAAATTTATACCAAACAAGCCAATAATCATGTCTAGAACATTGGGGGGACCAATTGTTTTGAGGAAAATATAAAGACCAGACCACTATGGTAATGGTAGCCTATTTATTTAAAGAAACTAGATAAATAAAGGATTTAAATGGATTTATGGGTATACATTTAAAAGAACATGAATATTTGTAAAGTAATCAATCTGAACCGCAAATAATTATTTTTAAATCTGCACCTATTCAATTTCAGTTGTATTGTTGAAAACGCAAAACAGAGAAATGCTAGTCGTCGTCAATCAATTATGAATGACATGAATCACGTAAATGACAGACCTACTTCCAATTCAAAACGGTGTAATTTGACAATTAAGTTGAATAGTGTGCATAACTGGATCTTGTTGGTCATTTACATCATTGAAGGGGAACACTACAGTCGAGCCGACTGTTGCTGTAGTGACGAACGCAACTTTCATCACGCAATCGCTCTTATTTCTGTGTTTACTTCAAGTTTTCATTCTTACATTCAGCATTAACATCAAGTCAAAAGGGAGCTTTCAACTGAACTGTATAGCCTACATGCATTTTAGATGCTTATATTATGTTCTTGCCCCGTCCATGCAGTGAATGCACGTTATTGAATGAGCGTGTTTTTAGAACATTAATTCAACTGCTCAGGTAATTTCAGTGGTAGGCTAGGCTATGATACATATTCATGTATTAAACTCCCTGTAAGTTACAAACTCCCTGTGATAGCGCACCTGTTTTCGCTCCTTGTCAGCCTCTGCTTTTCTGCAACAGACTGAAGCTCTGCGTGAATTCAGCGCGCCTTGCTTTCAGCTAATAAAAGAAAAATGCTGCAATTTTGTGGTGTTATTTTATGATTATTGGGGCAGTCTCCAGCTATATCTTAAACTTCTCAAAATACAATCCACTTCAGATTGGTTTTAATCACTGCACAAAAAAATGAATGCAGTCTTTACCTAATTCTTATTGGGTGGGCAAAACCTGCCCATGCCTGGAGCCGGCCCTGTTTTAAATAATCCTTTAAATTATTAGTTAATAAGAGAGCTTATATCTGCCTCCTAAATATCAGCATAAACGTTCACATGTGCACACATTTTTGAGGCCAGGGATTGTTTGTTGTGTCACAGGTCATAAGAATGTGATGTACAGGGGGCCTCTTCTTATTCTTAATATAGCTGTGTGAAATTGTTTAAATTGTGAGATATACTGCTTGAGTTTCACTTTGTTTGATTAGGAACTAACACGGCTTTGTGAGAAACGTAGTCCGTGTCACTGTACTGTCTGTTAATTTTTCTAGTAAGAGTTAGTCTACAAGTGACTGACAGTTTGATCTGCATTAATGCCCAGTTTGTACGGTCTATTTCCTCTGAATAATCCTGTGCTGACACGGTTTTCAGTCCTTAATGATTTTTAAACATTTTTTTTTTATAGGTGTTGTGCAGGTTATTCTGGCAACCCCTGCCAGGGAGCAAACTGCGAGAGCGAGAAATTGATTGTAACTTATTTGTTTACTAATATTGTCTGTGTATATTCATGTAGATCTCAAAAAATAAAAACCGAATTGAAAGTCTTAAAAATTCCCAACACTCTACAATTTCAACCACATTTCAAATGATGTATTGCCTTTTTTTATAATTTGGCAAAATATGTTTCAAACATTTTTAGAAAGTTATTTTTCCTAAGGCTTATTTCTAGAGTTTTATGTATTTTAAATGCACATGATTGAGAACAAATTTTGCTTATTACATCTTCACATATTAATTCATGCATTTCACTGACTGATTGGTAAACAAGAATATTTGAAAGACATTGTGGTGGAAATGACACTGGAAATAAAAACTGGGTTTGATTTTCATTCAAATTAAATTCTTTTTTTTCTTAATTTCACTCCGTTTGTCAGTTTTTTTTTATTATGCATTTTTATCATTAAAGATTGAAAGTCTGATCAAGGGTAAAACTATCAAATGTATTAGAATATTTGGAAAAATAACATCAAAGGTATGATAGTTTTATTTTGTCATATTTAAAAAATCTTGTTTTAATAAATATCAAGCGCTGAGACACTTGATTAAATCATTATTCTTAATGACTTTGTACATTTGTTAAAACTCTCTCTTCCATCTGAAGTATACCTTGCAGTGCTTTTGTTAATCTAGACGTAATCCATTAATCGCTTTCTTGGCAAGACGCTCAAGTTATTTAGTCTCCGCCCACTCTCTCTCGCAGGCTCACGAGCGATTGGAGGATGTTAAGCTGGAGGCGGTGCGAAGTAATAACGTGGAGCTAGTGAGTGAGATCCTGTCTGATATGAGCAGTCTGACCACTCATGATGAAAGTGCAGCAGAACTCTGTAAGATCCTGAAGGAACCGCACTTCCAGGTACCAAACCTCTTTGTGTGTCTATCTGACTGCGACATTCATGGTAATATGTTGACCGTTTATTTACAACTATTCATTCACCATGTAGCCTTCTCGGCAGAAAAGGAAGTAAGATCACCTATAAGCACTTGAGAAATTGGACAAATGAGTTGATCCTGTTTTTTTTTTTTAAAGGAAGATGATTTATTTGGTGATTTCTTGTTTGTTCTGTTCTGTATTCTCTTGGTATTTTCAGTCCCTGTTAGAAGCTCACGACAAGGTGGCCTCTAAGTCATATGAAGCTCCTCCCACCAGCACCAATTCCACCAGCATGGCCAGCTCATCCCTCATGCCGGCTGACACGGTTCGCATGATCAGCATCCAGAAGAAGGCCGGAGAGCCTCTGGTGAGTGACAGATGTTCTCCGTTTCACAGGATTAGATCCCACAGTCGGTCAGATCTTTAGCTCCGCTTGTGTTTCAAATCCATGCAGTGCCATTTGGTTAGTCTGCATTGAAAAAGTTTGTTTGCATTAACAAGATCTAGACTTAATTGTTAAATTAGACCTTCATATACAAGTAAGATCTAAGGCCAACCAGTCTCGAGCAGCAGATCTATAGTTGGCAGCCTGCAGTGTTCTAACACCTAGTAAAATGTCATTGTGTCTCTGCCAAGGTCAGAAATTCACGAGGGTGTTGGTTTAAAAAGCCACTGAAAGCAAGCTTTATTAATTTATTGCACATTTCATTATATTAAAAGCCACTGAAAATAACATTTATTTAGGGATGTTTTAAAATATGATTTCATATAAAGTCATTTTCAGTGGCTTTTAATAGAAGATAATTTAATTTATAAAACGGATAGTTCCGGTCCTTGATTCTGATTGGTTGAGCCGCGTTCAAAGCGGTTGTAAATTACACTACAAACATACACCTTTGTTTACTTCTGTGTGTTGCTCGGCAACCACTTTGTTGGAACCACAACTGTTTCTGAGGAACTACATTGTTTGGTGGAAGAATACTGTTTTTATTTATATCATTAGTCTTTATTTGCGTTGTTTTATTCTGTGAAACCTTACTACGTATATGGAATAACCGTTTTATAAAAGCAATAAGCCCCGTGAAGCCGTGGTTTACAGTGAATTTATAACAGCTAAGGGGCGTTGTTAGGCACGATGCGAAGCGGAACCCCCTTAGCTGTTATAAATTCACGGTAAACCACGGCTTCTTGGGGCTTATTGCTTTAATAATATAATATCCCCCTATCTATCTTCCCTTAATAAAAAGTATGTCTGACTCTTTGTGCCGGCATTTCTGCGATTCATAGTGTCGTCTCTTTTAGGGTGTAACATTCCGGGTGGAGGATGGTGACCTTGTCATTGCGCGTGTTCTGCACGGCAGCATGATTGACAGGCAAGGAATGCTGCATGCAGGTGATGTCATCCGAGAGGCGAATGGCCGAGAGGTGGGCAAAGACCCCATGGCATTACAGCACATGCTGAGGGACTGCAATGGAAGCGTCACACTCAAAATCCTGCCCAGCTACAGGGACACACCTCCACCCGCACAGGTCAGCGCACCACTGATTCACAGCAAACCCAATCAAATGACGCCCAGTTAAAACAATATTCATGAACTTTTTGTTGGTTACACAGCAGTCTTGTGTTTAGTTGTTGCATGGCACCGGGTTTCAGTTGTATTTATTTTTGGAATGCACTGATATCACTTTTTCCAGAACTGACTGATACTTTTATTTTTGGTACTGTTTGCCCATAACCAAGTACCAGTACATGTATTTTCATTGCATTTATAATTCTTAAAAATACTGGGTACAAAAACCAAAAGAATATGTATAATGTTATTTGGCTTAGTTCATTTATTAAATAGATTTTTCCTTCAGTTATGCAGTTTTGCACTTAATTATGCCCATTAAAACGTATTCTACAAGCTTTTGTTTCTTTCGCTATTCTTTTTTTTATTTATTTTTTTCTTCTTCTTTCTATGGTACTTTATATTCAAGTTGATAGCACATTAGAGCTGCTCCATTGCAGTGGTTCAGTACTGTAATCACAATACTTCCTGTAATAATGCAAGGAATCACTCTTTATATATAAATGATGAACATATTTTCTGAAACGAGTCGCATTTTTCTTTATCTGAAACATGCTGCGACTTATATTCCGAAGCGACTCATATAATGCAATTAACGTCAACAATCAAAACGTGTTGTTAAGCACATGCGCACATTTGTATTGGTGCAGAATGAGAGAGATATAGCCTAGTGCGTTTCACAGACTGCTAGTTTCACTTTTCATTTAGATGGTCTATGCTTGACATTTAAAATAAATGTTGTTTATAGTAATTGCCCCTATAATTTATTTACGATTTAGTTTTAATCTAAATGATGCATATGCCAAGTGAGCAAACGGCAATAAAGATCATGCAACAGAAGTCTCTCTCTCTCTCTCTCTCTCTCTCTCTCCCTCCCCTTACCGTCAAATTAGTAACTTGTGCATTGTTTTACTTACTTGCTTTAATAGACATCCTTAATTTCTAATAACTCCATTCTACTCTCTGTTTGTTCTGTTGTCGGTGATTCTTTGTCTGTTTACACTTCACAGCACTGTTCACATGCTGTTTGGTATTGGGGCATTTTAATCGGTGCATCCCTAATTTTATTACATTGTCTAAAATTTTAGTGATGGTTACGGGACAAACCCATACAAAATTAAATTTGGTGGACATTTGCTGCAACAAGAACTGGCATGAATTTGTACAAGATCATCCTCATCTCAACTGCTAGTATCTTTCCCTAATAATCCGATGCTGAGAGTACAAAATAATCTTGTCCCATAGTCCTGATTTTAGTGCTGTATTAACCTCCTGATGGCTTATGGGTTTGAACAGTCCTTGAGGAGGAAAAAGGAGAGACCTGGCCTCTGGGTGACTCAGAATGCCATCGGGCTGAAACTGAGCATGGTTATGCCTATTAATAACACGACCTGTGCTAAGTAGGGCAGATGGGAGGAGTTAAACATGCGCGCACACTTACTTTCTACTCTAAGGAGATCTAGGGCTGGAGAGAAATGGATCCTCATATACCTTTTTTTTATTTTTTATTTTTTTCTTCCCTCCATCAAATATTTCTCATGTTAGTAAAGTGTTTTGCACCACAATGAGTCATAATTGGGACATACAGGATTATAATGTGCAACATTTGGTGCAAAGAAATCGCACAAGTTAAGCAGGTTTTGCAGGTCCATGTATGATTACAGCACAGTTGCTGGTTCAAATCCTGATCCGAATAGGTTTAGGTCCTCAAAGAGTGCTGCTGCATATCAACCCTGTGAGTGTACTTCTAAGCAAGTAGGCTATGTCCTTTACCCACTTTCCTTGAATAAATACTGTTTGAAAACCTCACACAAGAGCAAACACCGGGGACGAGGGTTTACAGGGACCCGTTCCTTGTGCCAAACCTACATTCTGTCTTTTTTAGACCTGAACTTTACTCAGTGGCTTGGTCATGTGCAGTGAATGACCGCTGTTTGTTTACTGTTGGGAAATCATCACTGATAAAGATCCACCAGGATCCATAAATATTTCATGTGAAAATATACTGTTGTCCTTCATAGAGAAGCCCATTTACAACACACACCAACATAGGCTGTCTCTGTTACTATTCATTTATTTCCCAGGAGGATGCAGTATTCTATAGACAAAACGTTGACAATGTGAATTGGCCCCTAGCATTACACAACACAGATTTTGTCAATACAACATGAAAACGCTTTAGCCTTAATTGTATTTAATTTTATTTTTGGTTGGATATTTTACTTAAAAATACAACCTTCCCTTCATCATTTGAATAATGTCTTGGTCAGCATAGATTTCTTTTGCCTGTGAGCTATGACATGATTGCATTTTTTTAGGCTATAATTAGCAGCTTAAAATGAGTCAGATGTTAATAAACCGGTGTAACAACAATTTCTTTGCCCTTTAGGTGTATCTGAAGCCACATTTCAACTACAATCCTGATACCGATAATCTGATCCCTTGTAAAGAGGCTGGTTTGGCTTTCTCTAAAGGAGACATTCTGCATATAGTGAACAAGGAGGACCCCAACTGGTGGCAAGTGAGAAGCATATGATTTTTTAAATTTATTTTAAGGTCCAATTCTCGCAATTAACCAACCACTAACCATGCCTTTTGCCTCAAACTCCTCATTTTCTGCTTCTTAATAGTTAGTAAGGTGGTTAAGTTTGGGTATTGGGTAGGATTAGGGATGTAGAATATGTGCTTTATAAGTACTAATAAACAGACAATATGTTAATAATAGGTATGCTAATAAGCAACTTGTTAATAGTGCGAATTGGTCCCTAAACTAAAGTGTTACCATTTTTTTCAGTTCTTTGTTTTGGTCTGATTTCTTTTAATTGCTGAAATGTTTGACATTGAAGCTTTTTCGTTTAGGCATGTAATATAAATGGAGGCCGCACTGGCTTGATCCCCAGTCAGTTTCTTGAGGAAAAGAGGAAGGCATTTGTGAGGAGAGACCTGGATAGATCGGGTACAAAGTTTTTTTTTTTTTTTTTTTTTTTTCTTCTAGTTGTAAAAATTTTTTTTTTTTTTTTTTTTTTTTTTTTTTTTCTTCTAGTTCTGGATTAAATAATTTTAGGGATATATCCAAGTTCCTCCTATTGCATTTATGCTGTAAACAAAGTTCCACCTGTGGGTTTGTTTTAGGAATCCTCTGCGGGACATTAACTGGAAAAAAGAAGAAAAAGAAAATGATGTACTTGACCGCGAAAAATGCAGGTTAGATTTGCAGGGGTTCTTTGTTATTAATGTTTAATCTTCCAAAAGTTTAGTGTCATTCTTTTATTCGGCAAGGTTAGATTAAATTAATCAAAAGTGACAAATCTTTTGTAACCCTATAAATAGAGTTCTGGCATGAAACTCTAGATGGCGCAGTCCGATAGGTCTAACTCAATCTGACCTAATGACATCATCATCACATGGCACAGCTGATTGGTTCTTTCCTGTATCGGTAGCCAATGAGCTCGCTGCTCAACATTCAAATATATGATTAGTGCTTGCCGTTGCAGTTGCAGCGTGCTTCAGAAACCCTCCACCTTCCCCAGCTCCACCTATATAGATCTGCTTCGAGGTGATTCATGTATGCTATATGGGGGTTATTTCATGTACGTTATATTTGCAGCAGCAATATTTCTTACATGCTCACAGCAGTATGTTGTGGATGTATTGGCAGTAGCAAGTCTTGGTACTTGCTCTGCCGCAGCAGCGTAGCAGATCTATTCCGCCAAGACCAAATACATTAACATTGTCATGTACATTACCATGCCAATCCCTCCGAGAGTTGTCATCCTTTCCTATCAAAATGCTTGCTACCGATGCGAAAACGCAGAAAGTCAAACATCGTTTGACAGAAATGTATTTACTATTTCAAATAAATACTGTTCTTTTGAACTTTCTATTAATTAAATAATCCTGGATAAAATGTTGAGTTTCCGCAGAAATTTCTTGAGTACCAAATCAACATGTTTGAATTTTCCAGTCTTCAGTGTTACATGACCCTTCAGAAATTGTTCAGTTTCGCCATCATGGAAATAAATTAATTGTTGTAACATTAAAAATCTTAAGTAAATATTTTTGATCAAATAAATATACAGCTTTGGTGAGCATAAGAGACTTCTTTCAAAAACATAAAAAATAAATCTTACCATAAAAAAAAAATCTTAATGACTCCAAACTGTTGAATGGTTGTGCAAGTATTTTTAAAATGTAAAAATTAACTTTCAAAACCTCTCTCTTTCTAATAGAATTTGACCGCCATGAATTACAGATCTACGAGGAAGTAGCAAAGATGCCTCCATTCCAGAGAAAAACTCTTGTGCTGATTGGTGCACAAGGAGTGGGTCGCCGAAGCCTCAAGAACCGCCTGATTGTGTTAAACCCGCTGCAATATGGAACTACTGTACCTTGTGAGTATATAATTAACATTAAAAGGATAGTTCACCTTCAGTCGATGGTCCCCATTGACTTCCATAGTATGGGGGGGGGGGGAACTATGCATGTCAATGGGGACCAACTGAAGGCGAAGTACCCCTTTAATATTGTTAATTATTACATTAAGAATTAGTACATTTGTCATTTTACCAATAAAAAGTCGCACTCATCAGAATTTCATGTTTCTCAGTCACTTCTCGGCATCCACGCGATGACGAAAAGGATGGCCAGTCATACCGCTTTGTGTCCCGGGAGGAGATGGAGACAGACATCAAGGCAAGTTGCTACCTTGAGCATGGAGAATATGATGGCAATCTATATGGAACCAAAATCGACTCGATCCATGAAGTCATTCGCACAGGACGGACTTGCATACTGGATGTCAACCCACAGGTGAGTGGTTTTGTTAATGACACAGAGATGTTTTAGTTTGATATTGTACTGTGTATTGTATTCTGTAATAGACCATAGTCTTTACTTATTAATAGCTGGTGAGGATGTGCTACAGGATGAACTACATATTTTCATAATACTGTCCAGGGTAGGGATGTCACAAGAACCGATACTATGGTACCAAGTTACATTTTAAAATCTTGCAGGTACTTGTTTTTCTTCAGTAGTGTAAGTACCGATGGTAGCGACTAGCGAGGCTGATCTGTTTTCGTTCAGATCAAAGCGTAAACAATGCGTCGTTTATGTACGTGATACTCTCCAAAATGGCGCTATAGGGTGACGTGAAGGAGACGAATTGTTGAATAATTTAATTATTTTTGTTTTCTTTGCACACAAAAATGATTCTCGTAGCTTCGTAAAATTACGATTGAACAACTGATGTCACATGGATTATTTTAACGATCTCCTTGCTATGTTTCTGAGCCTTGATAGTGTAAGGATCTGTCTATGGGAGGGTCAAAGAGATCTCGGAATGCATCAAAAATATCTTAATTTGTGTTCTGAAGATGAACAAAGGTCTCACAGGTTTGGAACGACATGAGGGTGAGTAATTAATGACTGAATTTTAACTTTTGGGTGAACTATAATGTTTAAGTATTATTGCTATTTTTTTCCAGTGGTATCGTGTAATTTGTAGTGGTATCGGTACCGACTACTAGATTTTTGATATCGTGACATCCCTAGTTCAGGCCAGGGATTCCCAAACCTGTCAGTGAAACCCCTTTGACCTAAAAAAAATAAAAAAATACCTGAGATTTTAAAGTTGTAATGAAATGGAAGTAGCGACATACATTTTCTTCCATATTGTGAGGTAAATCCGACTGAAACTTATTATTGGAAAATGAAAAAATGTAGGACAGGCACTTTGTTGATTGGACAAAAGAAGAGCTGAATGTGAGCTTGCAGTCGATTGTAAGAAAGGGGCAGGGTTTAATGGAGAAGTATGGTGCTTTACTGGTAGCTTGAGATGATATTTTGATAAAAAAAATTACAAGATCTAAAAAAAAAACTAAATAACCTTCACAATAAGATCTTTGCAAAATGGTACAGTATTATTTTGTGGTGGTGACTTAATAGTAAACAAAATATCCAAAGTAATTATTTTTCCCAACATTATTTGTTCAGCTTTTTATAAACTCGCAAACCCCCTGTTGTTTTCTCAGTTTGGGGAAACCCTAAAATTCTGGTCTTTGAGGACCCCTGACACTGCACATTTTGAATGCTTCCTCAAGATCATTTTAGGACTTGGATATATATTAAATGTATACTGCATCTTAAAAATGCAATGCTTATTGTGCAAGAAAATGGGAATAGATCTGTCTTTTTGAAGATTGACAGTAATTGTCCTGAAGTCGTTCATTATTGTTAAAGGCTTGTATTTATTAGGCAAGCAGTGCTTAAATGTGGGTTAATTTAGAGATGCAACTGTTCTGGTTGCTGATGGTCTAATAGCACAGCACAGTGTCCGCTTTCTCTCAGAGACGGTGCCCGTCTTAATTCATCCATTTAAGCACCTACACTAAAAACATTAAAGTAAAAAAAAAAAAAACATTCGCCTGATAATCTTAGTAGTAAGTAATTACAATGTTGTAAATGTGAAAGTATGGGTGAAGATGAAGTCTGTGTGATTGTGCCTGTGTGCTGCAGTCATCAATGCAGTCCAGACATAAATGACTTCACAATGAGTGAAAGCTGCAAGTAGAGATGGCTGCTCTCAAAACATTGCTTCATGAAACTTTATTTTTTTTGCATCAGTGGTTCAGAACTTGTACCAAACTCACCAAGTCATGTGATTTCAACAAACGAGGCTTCATTGTCATACTGTATTGTTTTTAGTTTTTTTTAAACCTTGGTTTGCAAACCTTTCAAAATTCAGAGAGTTCACAACTAGACGTTGATCTGGTGAGCTCATGAACAATTGGCTAATGGTTTTTAAATTGTCTCGGATCAGTGTGATAATGTACATTCATTTTTAATGAATTTTAAGTTGTGTGTGTGTGTGTGTGTGTGTGTGTAATACAAAAAGAAAAATTATACCTAATTGCTTCTAATTGAGCTAGTTTGCCAAGCCCTGTCTAAAAACACACACCCTACCTAATAAGAATTACAAATGAATAAAACACAAATTAACTTTCATATTTAATGGTATTTAATTTTGTAGATTACATTTAATAGATTACACTTGCAATTGCTTTGGAAAAGGTGTCATTATGCAGCTTTTGTTGCGCTTACATTTTTGACCAAAAGGTGTCACCTGCCTGTGGTCTATTGAGCGCTTCAGAACAGTGAATCGGTTCATGGACCAATTGGTTTAGCTCACTCAGAGATTCAAAAAGCTTCTTTTCTCCCATCACTAACAAAAAGACTTTATTTGGTAAATGTGCTCTGCAGGCGCTAAAGGTACTGAAGACATCAGAGTTTATGCCATTCGTGGTTTTCATCGCTGCCCCAGAGCTCGACACACTACGGGCCATGCACAAAGCTGTGGTGGATGCTGGGATCACAACCAAGCTACTGACGGTCAGCCTCATTCCTGTCCATCAAATTCACTTTCTCAAATTTTTCCCCAATAATGTAGAAACATTGGAGTTACCATAAGCTCAGCGTTTGAGATATGGTTCTTTAGAAGTGTGATGACTTCTTTCTGTCTTTTTAGGAAACGGACCTAAAGAAAACAGTGGACGAAAGCGCCAGGATCAAGCGGGCGTACAATCACTACTTTGATCTAACTATAGTTAATGACAATCTAGACAAGGCCTTTGAGAATCTGCAGGCAGCTGTGGAGCAGTTGACCACACAACCACAGTGGGTCCCTGTGAACTGGGTTTACTGAGACGTACAGCGGTCCAAACACCTCATCATCATCATCATCTGTGGCATAACCGATGCGTCAGCGGCACAGAACACAAGTTCACACTGAACGGACCTAGCAGTCACTATGCAAATATACACTAGCCATCCAGTCACGACAGACAAAAGGGAAGTGTACTTATTTATTAACGTTTTTTTATTTTCTACTGACTAAACTTAAATACTCTGAGGGGAAAAAACAAATAGGATATTTTTGAATGGCTTGTCATTAAAATAGTGATTTAATAATTTTCCAAGTAAGTATAAGCTGCATTACAGTATTTAAAGCAGGGGTCTGCTTTCTTGCTGTAATTTTAGTGTTACAAACGTTGGTTTACAGTGCAGGCTTCATCTCGCATTTCTTACAGTTCCGTCACTACAGTATGTCAAGCAGCTTTACCCCCAGCTTCACAGTCAAGGCTTAAACTCTAGTCCCAGACTAAAATGCATGTTTGAGCTGTCTCAACTGAAAATATCTTGCTCTGACATATCTTAAAATAGGTCAGTGTCATTGTTCTGTGTCAAGATGCACACCTGTAATGTTTTCTTCTAAGGCATTTTTGTAAAAGTTTCTTAAATATCTTAATTTAACTAAGGCCTAGTCCTGGCTTAAGCTAAGCCCCATTTGTGAAACCGGGCCTCCGTTTATCCAGCTTCGGACTTAATAAGATCTTTATAAGTGTCATCTTGTTATCCTCTTTGATTTCCGTTAAATTCAAGGAACGCTAGGAGTAAGCCAAATGTAACTTTTACAATATCACAATAGCACTTTTTTACAGTCCTGTTATGTATGTACTATAATATCTAGGTAGTAATACTGAACCTAACCTTATAGCTCAGAGTATACTTCAGTTTTGATGTGAACGCTTAAAGGGGTCGTTCACTACAAAATCACCACCACTACTGAAACACGGGCCGGTTCAGTGCTGCCATCTTGTGGACAAACAAATTTGTGTGAAAAAGCTTTTCAGACAGATGCTGTGCTCTGTACATACTACATAGTATGCAAAAAAAGTATGCAAACAATAGTATTGTTCAAATTCATAGTAGGTGAAAAAGTACCTGGTTGACCAACTACTTTCACTAGGATTCTGAAGTGTGCGTTCGATGGACACTTTAATATCCCATGATGAGGCCACGGCAGAGGATTTATGAATGGCAGTAATGCAATGCAACGGATGCCGGTAGGTCACATGACAGTAACAACATGATGAATGTAGTATGTTCCAATTTCGTTCATACTACGCATACTCGTACTATATAGAACATTTACTTTATTTTTTTTTAAATGTTGCAAAGTAAATTCCAATTCAAATGTAATGCCTATTGCAGCGTTTTACAAATTTGTGTGAAAAAGCTTTTCAGACAGATGCTGTGCTCTGTACATACTACATAGTATGCAAAAAAAGTATGCAAACAATAGTATTGTTCAAATTCATAGTAGGTGAAAAAGTACCTGGTTGACCAACTACTTTCACTAGGATTCTGAAGTGTGCGTTCGATGGACACTTTAATATCCCATGATGAGGCCACGGCAGAGGATTTATGAATGGCAGTAATGCAATGCAACGGATGCCGGTAGGTCACATGACAGTAACAACATGATGAATGTAGTATGTTCCAATTTCGTTCATACTACCCATACTCGTACTATATAGAACATTTACTTTATTTTTTTTTAAATGTTGCAAAGTAAATTCCAATTCAAATGTAATGCCTATTGCAGCTATTTCAGATGCACAGAGTTGTGTGAGATCTCTGCAAAATGAATTTGAACATTTTCAAACTGGTGGGTGTTTCTAAATAATGCAATGAAAATGATGCCCCTTACCTGACCCCTCTCTTAAACACAGCAGCAAATCAGGTAACACGGTTGAAAATGTCCTCATTTTGGCCTCGCCCACTGATCTGGTAACCCATTACTGTCCTGCAGAGACCTATATTTGGACCGAGTACAGCGTACGGTACACAAGTACTATGCTTCTGACGAAATTTACATCACATGCACTGTGTAAAAATCTATACTTCAGTTTTGACGTTAATGCTTAACTTATGCATAGAGCAGAACGCACAGCCTTTCAAATATCATCCATTTGAATAGTGTCAGGCGCACTATAAAGTTTCATTCTTGTCCAGCATCTGCACAGATTCTGATAAAAATGTCTTTGTACTCTTTTTAAATTAGTTGCATTTGTTTCTTAAACCACCTTGTTAACGCAGGTGTTTCATTCATTTCTTTTTCGACTGTAAAACCGCATTCCAGGCCACTAATTAGTGCAAAAAATTCAAGGCACATGTGGGAGCCGAGCATAAAAGTACTGCAAACATAATATACTTGCAATATAACGAAGTATACTCTGGGCTTAAGGGCTAGTTCACACAGAACAAGTTTGTGTTCCATTGCACTGTTTATTTATATTTCATGTCTAGCTACTGTTCAGTGTCTTGTCTTGTGCAAGTTGAAAATGGTAAACCTTTTTCTGATTTTTCCATTTATCAGTGCTGCACCTCTGTATCTGGATGTTTTTGCGCAGCACCTGTAGTTTTTAAAAGCAAAAGCCTGGTCTGTGTGAACAGCCCCTAAACCTAACCTTAACTCAAAAAGCTATATAATGTGATATATGGTTACCTTACATTATATTACCTTATATTAAGTGCATCCAGTATCATGGTTTTAATTTTATCGTTGCAGAATTATGAGCTGAAGTCATTGTTGCTTGTATGTCCTAGTATACAGAATCAGCACTGTATTTAGCTAAATGCCTTTTACACGGGCACAAAATCACATTCAAACATGGAATATAGACCAAGTGTGTCATGATCACAAGCTACCTGGCCTCACAGATTCATAACCTGTCATCTAGATGTATGGACTTCTGTCTCTGGTGTCTTGCTCTAGTGTCTTTTTCAAGGCTTTGTAACTGATTTTTATCCAGCTTGCGTATTCACTTGAAAATGCTATATTTTTGTGATGCAGAGAGTTGTATTTTCTGAAATTAAACAGCTGTCTTAATAAATTAAAATTTTGGATCACCTTTCTTGAGTCTTTATTTTCTGGGGCCTCATTTATAAAGCGTGCGTATCCTCAGATTTGATCTTAGAGTGTGCGTACGCTTCGATCCACGCCAATGCTCATATTTGTAAAAACTGCCTTTGACATGGAAAGGTGCTTAGCGTCATGTCAGGGTCTGAGCAGACGTACACACTTTCTTGTCGGAGTGCTGCAGATTTTTGGAAATGTAAGCTGTTCTTGCAGCTTGCTGTTCTAAATTAAAGGATTTGGACGATGACTGGTGATCTTTTGTTAATGACGTTAATTAGGAGTCGTTTAAAAAGACAAGAGAGCTAAAATTATTCAGTTGCGTGCAAGTTCAAGATCATTTGCGATTCATAGATTTCACATCTGAAAGAGAGGTGTATGTGTGTTTTCTGTGCGTACGATCATTCTATGAATCACGCATGTGCATGAGAAATTATCTAAGATCAATTTTAGAATGGTCAATTTTTCTGAGGCCCAAGGTGTGCAGATTTGCTCGTTAAAAAAGTTTCGATGGCAGAAAACTAGGTTAAGGAATTTATGAAAACATGGACAAAATATGATGTAAACAATTTATTGTGCTTTTGCACAGATTTTCATATAAGAGTGTATTACCAGGGTTGCCAGGTTTTCACAATAAAACCCGCCCAATTACTACTCAAAACTAGCCCAAAAGTGTTTCGAGGGGGGTCCCCCAGTAAAAATCACATTCCGGGTGATAAAACAACTTTTTTTTGTATGTGTGTCAGGGTTCCCCTGGTAAAATTTGCATTCCAGCGGCTAAATACAAGTTATTGGGGTCGCGGACCGTGGACTTAGCAACACTGTATTTCCACTCTAATAGGTTGACATTACAGAGGTACTTAAAAAAACGATTTAAAATGAATAGACAATTTCTATAAAACAGCTGAAAGGCCACTTAAGGAACCAATTTTTTTTTCTTTTCTTATCCCAAGGTTTGTAGATTGTCCACCGCTTTAAGTGCCCTTTGGTCCTCGGCTTACATCAGATATTTTAGCTTTGCTGTTGTACTCCAGTCAGACAGGGGGCACTAGAGATGCCAAGCCTTTAACAGCAATGCACAGCATGAGAGGAAGGCGATCCTGTGGTTTGCCGATTTTTGTAACCACTGAATCCTTCTCCTTAAGCAGTGTCACGTTACAGGAAGCAAAGAGTGATGTAACCTTCTTGAAAACCTTCTCATTGGTTAGCGCAGCCAAAGCAGCATCTTTCAGAGAGGACTTCTTATTTGAAGTCATATTTTGCACCTGCAGGAAAATAAACACGTCATATAGGCAGAAAAAAGCATGATAAAGTTAATGATTTCCCTTAGCAATTTTCTGCGTTTTTTACAATGATGGCTCTGGATTTATGAGCAAATTAAAGCCTGTATTTAACACAACTTGAGACTTTTACAAAGCTTGCCAACAAAAATGGAGTATTATGTGTTGAGATTATCAACAAAGCATGTACTGTCATTATCACTACACAAAAACGCTTCAGAAGGCATTTATTAACCCTCCGGCGCCGAGTACTTTTTTATGATGGATGGATGCACTTTTTTGGACTTCTAAATCTCAACACCCATTCACTCCCATTATAAAGCTTGGAAGAGTCAGGACATTTTTAATATAACTCCGATTGTATTCGTCTAAAAGAAGAAAGTCATATACACCTAGAATGGCTTGAGGGTGACTAAATTATGGGGTTATTTAAATTTTTTCCCTTTAAACAGGCCCTATTTATTACATGTGGCACCATTTTTGATGGAAAACTGTTCTTAATACGGAGTACAGTTACTTAATATGAAGATACTTACAAGATGAAGCAAAGCTTGCAGGGTTGCGTAACTGCAGCAGGATTTGAGCTCAAGCAGGGCAGAGTCAGTCATCTCTACATGAGCACATGATTGGTTATGAGAACAAAGGACAATCTGACAGCAGGTGTATGATAACAAACAACCATCAGGTAAATGACAACGATGCACTGAAAGTGAAATTACTGATTGCTTTTATGACCAGTTAATAATATACAAAACTCAATCTATGACCTTTATTTGTCAAAATTCTGTCACTAACTGAACTCACCATCAAAGGAGCTGATGAGCAGATGGGTGGCAGTCAGAGCGCTGGGTTTCTTCTGCTTTCCAGAGGGGTTAGCACCAGCAGTCTTCTGTACAAGCTCCAGTGTGGCTTTCAGAGCAGGTACCTTCTCTAATGCAATGGGATCAGGCTGCGTCCCACCACACAGGTCCTCTAGCTGAGAGAGGGACAAACAAGTCTAAAGCTGTCCAACATGTCTATTATTACTGTTCAAAAGTTTGGGGTCAGTAAGTTTTTTTTTTTTGGAAAGAAATCAATCCAGTAAGGATGCATTAAATTGATCAACAGTGCCAGTACTTTTATAATCTTACAAAAGGTTTCTATTTCAAATAAATGCTGTTGTCTTTTTAACTTTACATTCATCATAGAATTCTGGGGAGAAAGGCTTTACAGTTTCCAGAAAATATTAATCAGCACATTGATAATAAGAGGAAGTGTTTCTTTAGCACAAATCAGCATGTTGTAATGATTTTAAGAATCATGTGACACTGAAGACTGGAATAATTTGTAGTAAATTCTGGAAATGCAGCTTTGTCATTACAGAAATAAATAACATTTTAAAATATAGTATAGACATTTTTAAAAATGTAACATATATATATATATATATATATATATATATATATATATATATATAAACTGCTGGGATGGTTATTTGTGTACATTTGTATATCCACCCTCAATTTCTAGTTTTTTTTTCTTTACATACATCTATTAAAGATATAATATATAGTAGTCAACATTTGAAGTGGATCAAAAAAGTTAATCAAAGTGGTCCTAAGACAAGAACGCGTTTTGATTTTAGGACAACTTTGATGAAAGGTTTTGATCCACTTTACATGTTGACTAGTGTATATTAAGATATATTTTATATATTTTATATATTAAAGTAATAGACAGAGCTTAACAAATTTATTAGACCACCGAAGAGAAAACACAAATATATTAGGAATCTGTCAAAAACCTGTTTAAAACTTAAAAAAAAAAAACATTAATTAACAAATTAAAACAACTAAATCTTTATTCACAAAAGTATAAATTTTATTTTTATTTTGTATGGCCTCCTTTGGCCTTGATAACATGCATTCTTGCTGCCATTGTTTTTATGTACTCCCAAATAGTCTCTAGTTGTTCCTAAAGATGTGCTTTTGATGAAACTTTTGTGTGATCTATCTTTAAATCCTAACAATAATGAATATTTTAGCATTATAAACACTAGTGTGACTAAAAAGCTTACACATACTGGTGTGGATTAACCATTACAGAAACACAAAAAATTATAATGATCAATTTGGTAATCACCAATACTGTTAGTTGAGGGCAGCTGTGGCACATACCTTACATTGGGTGGTGGTCTGATAAATTTGTTAAGCACTTTATATGTTTTAAGATGACAACTAGATGGCATTTGTTGTAGAATAATTCCTACTGTTTCAAACAAACAAAAAATCTGATGTAAGATTCCCCCGTCTCACTCACTGCATCCTCCAGCACGCTGATGGCTGCACTGTCCTGCAGGAGCAGAGAGATCTGCTGGAATAATGCGGAGCGTGTGCTGGATGGGAGTTTAGAGAGGACTGTAAACTGCCCCTGGAGTCCTTCCAGATCTAAAGAGAGAGAAAGTAAATCATCTTAATCAAAGCGTTTTTATGGAAATGATGTAAACTCTAGTTTTACACTTACACTAGTTTTACACAAAGTTGGGAAGTCAACTTTCCAGTGGCTTACTTTACAGTTGTCGCTGAATAATTACTCTGAGAAAAAATAATTTTACTGTCAAAAATGTTTTAATGTTGTTTTTAATGAAAGATGGTTAGAGTAGCTATTGTGATGTTACCTTTCTGCAGTTTGTTGGTTGTTTTCCCGGGTGCAGCACTAACTGTGCTTGATTGCTTCACTTTCACTGGCCCGTCAACTTCAAAACCTCCCTTGATATTTGGCAGCAGGCACAGTTCTGACAAAATGGATGAGTACATTCATACGGCTCATTTGACCATCAAGAATTACCATTCCTAGAATGGTTTTCCACTTGATGTCCAATTTAAAGGTCTTTGCACACTGAGTCCGAAATTTTCATATGCGTTTTTTCATATTGGTCATCCTAAAAATTCATCACGCACAGATGTCTTGCACACTGAGTCCGATGCGTATTAATTAATCCGTTGTGGAAAAATTCGCAAAACAGTACAAAATAGTCTTTAAGCAGTGAGGATGATTTTGTTGTCCTTTCTCTTCTTAAAAAAATAAAAAGAAAGATGAAATATTGGGTTCATCTTCTGAGATTGTGTAGAGAATCAAGGAGCTGTGGGATTATCCTGAGCGATTCAGTTTACTACAGGATTTTGATGCATTGGTAGCAATACTAGAGCCACATATTTAAAAGGAGACCACCAATTTCCGTGAACCAAACCAGCATTCATTTTTGGCTTTCGCTTCTACGGTGGCTCTGAATTGTTAAAACACCTCTGAAAATGCTTGCTACGCAAAAAATCGAACCCAATCCAAATTTTTTTATGACGAATGAAAGTTTCGGAGGCAGTGTGTAAACATGATTGACACAACGTGAGGTCGTATTTATTTTTTTAAGGTTCGAAATTTTGGACTCGGTGTGCAATGACCTTAAATCTGGTTCCTCAAGCAAAATCTTCTGATGAGGAATTTAATTGGTACAAAACTTCCAATGAATGATTTAGCAAAAATTATTTACCGTAGTGTCCAGTGTGAGCAACTTCTAGTTCAATCACACTGTAAGCAATGGTGGTTTTGGGGGGGATGTTGATTGACACATTTGTGTCATACTCGACAAAAGGCTTGCTTTTATCATTGACTGACACCTGCGGAGAAACAAGAGACAGATGGGACAGCTTGTATTAGACAGGACCGGACA